TGGGTGACACCAACCCTTTAAAGGGCCAGGTTTAAGTCTCCCATCTCTTGTACAAAGTCAAACATCCGATCAGCACATAAAGACTGTCCAGTGTCCGAAACAGTCTTACCCCATTTTTTGAGGACCAAGTCTTTGCATCACAGATCAAGACTAGGGAAGAGGTTGTACGGTGACAATGCCCCATGGTGTGTCAGCCTTAAGTCTCCCATCTCTTGTAGAAAGACACTCCAGAGTCCAAAACAAATTTTTCTTTCCTCTTTAATGTAGGACCAAGTCTTTGTGTATATTTTAAGTGTTTTACTTAGACTGAACAACATCTTTTTTCGTTTATTTTATATCCTAGGTCAATACTTATCTCATGAAATCAGCTACACTTCCAAAAGCCGCGGGAGAATATCTTTCTACCTTGGAAAGAAACAAAGAAATCATCAATGACTCTTTCAAAAGACAGTGTTGAGTTGTACAGTGTAAATGAGGTTTGCTCTTGTCCCAGTATTCATAGTTAATTATGTCAATAGCAATATAGTAAAACTTTTGACAATAAAAATGAACAGTAAAATATGACGTTTCGACCAAACTTCGTTCATTTTCAAGTGAATAGTAAGTATATCTCGATGAATATCTATATATATACGTGAAAGAAGTGTAAAATTTTTTGGAAGTGTAAACGGGCAATAAGAACCTACAAAGAGGAGAATAATTAGAAGCTAATTAAAAACCTTTTCACGAGTTGAGTCCAAGTTTACACTTCCAAAAACTTTTACACTCCTTTCACGCATATATATATATATATATTCATCGAGACATTCTTACTATTCAATTGAAAATGAACGATGTTTGGTCGAAACGTCGTGCTTTATCGTTCGTTTTTATTTTAGTGAAACTTTGAATACCATTGCTTTCAATATGATTTGAAGAAGGTGGTTATCTCGGTAAAGCACGTACCCGCCAGGGAATAATGTTAAAAAACAATGTCCCTCTTGTTGCCCCATTATTTCCATTTAGAATAAACTGACTTCAAACAGAGTTTTCAGTGTGATTAATTATTAAATATTCTTCTCCTTTGTAACGATTTTTTAACTCATCGTTTAATTAAGAATTCACAAGCAATTTTTGACGAGGTAGACTTCAGGTAGAAGAAGTACCTCCCGGCAGATACGAAGCGTACGTTAGTATGTCTGACCTCATGCATGGCTTGCCACAATCATGATATTATACCTGGTCAAATGTTTACACTTTGCAAGATAGTAGGCAAAAAAATGGGACTATCGAGATTCTTGTGACCATTACTTTCTGATATTAAAACTCAGAGATAATTTTGCCGACTAAACCGTTGCTATGGTAGCACGATAGGTCAGATGGCTGGTCATTAGATGCAAAATATATCAGATAGGAATTCATTTGATACCAATGTTTCATAAAAACAGATAAAAAAAGTATTCATGGTGGTGTTGATTCAATAAACGAGCAGTGCTGTAAACAACTGAAAGCCACCTTAATCAGAGACAGGTCTTAGAAATCAGAAAACAAAACTAGATTCATTTCTTCGTTTGCAGTTTCTCTTCCTTATTGATACATGTAATTTTTTTAATTACAAATATTCGCTAAATCCAGGTTAGATCGTTCAACATAGACTAATAGGCTCAAATACCTAATTTTCTATAGAAAGCCAAATAACTAACCTTGTTAGAATCCGTCTAATTTTTCTTTCCTCCCTTGAATTTCTTCATTTCGATGGGTTCCCATTTCTTTCTTGCAGTTCTTCTTGGAAAAAAAAGGGTTAACATTGTTAACTATCGTTACAAAACATTTTTAGAGGCCTAAGCAGTCCTATGATGAGTTTTTGATGACAGACGATTGGTTTAAAAACAATTTTGGGGGACAACAGATTTATTTCATTTATAGCACCAGTGTTTCACTACCAAAAGACACACTGAGAGCAGTAGCTTTAGTTCATGAGCTGAGCAATAGCAATGTAAACTACGGCAAGTTACCTTGATAAGACGAACATCAAAGAGTTCAGAAATTGAATAAAATGACCAGCTTTGATTTTCTTTTGTTGTTTCTCTATTTTTCAGCTTTAGTGGCTTGTCATCATTATAAAGATTTACAAGATGAGATGAGTAAAATAATTATAAAACTTAAAAACCAACCTTGTCCGATGTTATCCCGTGATCTTCTTGATTTCGATACTTTTTCATCCTATGTTTGATGCTAAAAAAGTGAATACCATAAGAATACATGTAAACCTTTCGTAAGGCGAGCTCTTTGTTCATGAAAACTAAGCTAAACTAGTATATATAAATACGTGGAACCCTCATATTTGATGCAGAATTAAGGGAGAAAAACAGTTTTCTGTTCGAAAAAAAAATTATCATACAATCTACGAGTCTAAAGTAATGAGGTGCCGTTATGTTAAGCAGCACAAGGACTGGTTTAAAACGAGATTCTAGATAAACATCTGTCTTTGCATATGAGATCGATTCGTTCAGATGAAATGGCCAGGAGAATAAGAACCCACAATATGCCAATACATATCGGGCTACTCCAAAGTATTAAGACAGGTTCCTCTGATAGTACAAATAAGTATAGGCAATAACATGACTTCGAGAGCAATTTAGTGTTAACGAGTAAATTTTTCAAAGACAACAAAATTGGACGAACCCCGTAAGGCAAGTGCAATATGAAGCCTTTGGAAAATTTACAAATGCTTAGTACACCAAATTGCAAGAGAAATCATGATATTACTTGTTAATAATGTACACTCAAAAACATCACAGAAAGTCACTACAGACTAAATATTTAAAGCGTGCGCGCGCTATTTGTAATTTTGACTCGTTTTACAATGTTGCGCTCGTGTTACATGAGAATGTACTTGTTTTCAGCCGATCAGAAGCGCGTAATTTTCTCAAGTACATTATTATAGTAAGTACTGCCATCTGCAGTTTCAGCATGAAAGATGGGAATCAGTCCTCTGATATCCAGAAAACAAGATTCAGTATTACATACAAAACATATTAACCGTTACTCTCTACTTTCTTCAGCGTGATTAAAAGGGAAATAACAAGCGCGTTTAAAACAAACTTAATGTTACAACACTAGAAGCATAAAAATTGTGTATAGTTTGACAAATAAATACAGAAATGAAATGGACAATAAGGAAACAAGTGATAAGTGCGAAAAGAATAACGAACGAATTTCTCGGCATCCCATGAAAGACACGAGCAAGGAACTGTCATGGCGACTGACATTGAGTATTTGTCTTATCCTGTGCTATGCGATCTTGCCCTCCCTTCTTACATTCGAATAAGTAAATGAATTTTACTCTAGAAACAACGAAAAACACGAGCACTGCAATTCCATCAAAATATATCTGTACGTAGGTTATTTACCTGAAGAAAAGTCTGGACAAAATCAAAGTCATGAATCCTCGACGACGATCAAATGTTAACCCCGCGATTCAGCAAATGAAACACTCGCTGACCTTGACAGAACTGACGATATCCAAGGTAATAAGGTAAAAAAATGGGTCTCCTGAATCCATAAAAGCTGGAAAAGACGCTGAAATTTCTTACAGCTCGTAAGCTTCTTCCACGTGCAAGACTGAGCGAAAATATGAATATTAATTTTACAATATTTGTAATTCAAATTAGTTTTCTGCTTTAAACGGCGGATTCATAATAATCGACTCTAAGCTTCTCGGTTAGTCTCGTTCCACCGAGAAGGAAAAAGGATTTCAAGCTGAAGCCTGAATTTTATCCTAGTAAAGTCCAATAGGGAGGTGCAACCATTCTTAAATTGTAATTTTAGAAATGTTTACTCGAACCCAGACGATTCTTGTATGATCACAGTCCAAATACTTCAATGAAAAGGTTCTAGAAAATTTGCTCCCTTCTCCTTTTCTCTTTGTCACCATACCTATAAACAGTAACCTTTTTTCTTTCTCATAAGGAGAAAGAAGACGATTTGGTAAAAAAATCCAAAAGAAAATTTAGGACACGTACTGGAATTTAGCGCGGCGCCGAACTCTGTTCGAGCTCTTAGCGTTCGCAAGTTAAATCCACTACACTACCCGACCTCATGCCGTTTTTTACATATTTTTTTAAAGAACATTTTGTAGCTAAGGCTCACCATTAGAAGCAAGATGTGACCTCTTTAAAATTAAACAGGTTCCTTGGTAGCTAGATGACATGAAAAGTGAACAAACGGAAAACACAGAGAAACGCAGGGGAGGTGAATTAAGCTGACTTAAAGACTGATTCAACTTTTATTTTCTGACTTTATCGCAACATTATTATCGACCTGTTTCTCAACCTTGAAGCGGAGGGAACAAGACGCCCCTTATAACATAACCGTGAGAAAATGAGAGGGAGATGGTGACAGGGTGACTGTCACATTTCATTCTTAAATGGAAGCCAAAGAGAAAAAAGAAGCAGAAGAATTTCTCTTCTGTTATTTAGCTGTTCCAAACTTCTCTTACATCTACGCAAGTATAAGAATTAAAATAAGCGAATTAATCTTGAACATTGCCTTTTGCTTTTGCCGTAGAAATTATAGTTGTACAGAAGATGGGACTCATTTGCGTACGCATTGCGTGCCTACATTTATTTCATTTATTTCTTTATGTTTATAATTTGAGTAAAAACTTTACGCATCAGCTTGCCCTTAAGTTATATGATCGTGGGATGAATCAAATATTTTAATGAGAGGAAAATTTTTACGCCCATCATTTTGGGAATAAAAGGGTTTTGTGGAACTCATCGTGGAAGCATAGCTATTATCACGTTTCTTTTATTTAATTGGGGGTGAAGTGAAAGGCGAAATGACGACTGAAGGACGAAATGACGACTGAAGGACGAAATGACGACTGAAGGGCGAAATGACGACTGAAGGACGAAATGACGACTGAAGGACGAAATGACGACTGAAGGGCGATAAAGGGTGAGATTTCCGATACAAACCGACGAGTGACGTATCGTTTTCCGCACTCGTGAAAAATGGGCACTATCCGATTGGCTCTCGGCTTTTTCGATCAGCTTGGGAATGAAAATTTATTTTGCGCCTTTACGGTGTGTAAATCTCAGTGGGTATATAGGTGTAATTGTAAACAATAGGCCGAAAAGAGCAGAAACACATTATCTTGTTCTGTGTTAATTGAGGTTTTTTTTTATTATTTTTACAACTTGAGGACAGAAATGACTTTCTTCTAGGAACGTTTCCAGAGGAAAAAATAAACAGCAATAGATAAGCTGCTTCTCTTGGCCCGGCCTCTTGATTTGAAATCCGGGTCACTCGTCTGATTTTCTTCGCCTCTTCTTTTGGAATGAGTTTAATTTACAACTTTGACTTTGCTGTTAGAGTATTCTTAAATTATAGTCTATATATTCTTGGCCTTATTCAGAACCCTGGTCTATTGTTACTTAAACGCTATGTGCCTCTATTGCTGGATTACAGAAATGTTTTTCGGCAAAGGGGCCCGCTGACTCTCTAGTTCTTTCATTCCCATTGTTGTTGTCACAGTGCTTAACTGGAACCTTAAAGGAACATTCTTGTGTGATAGATTATGTGGGAGGGCACGGGTCACGGAAAACCATAACGCATCCTTACCCTTGGTAGAAACAGCTGTCGTAATTCAGTCGTATTCTTATAAATAAAGCTATCAAACATGTCAAATGACCCGTTTGTCCGGATCTCCGCGCGCAATTCCGCAGTGAAAGCTGACGTGTGCAGTGCAGAACGGGATGACGCGAGCCAGTTCGAAAGAAAACCACTCACATTGCGCTCAAACGGCTCTTTTGACTATTCCGAGAACGTGAATTGAAATCGCGGACTCCAACCAAAAGTAAATGGGAAATTATGACGAAGGAGAAAAAGGAAAAGTTTTTTTCTGATAATCAATTTCGTATTTCTCCAATGTGCGCCCTTCTTTAATATGCTAGTATTTGCTCTATAGGTTGAAACGAAATTTTCTAAATTTTTAGCACCTAGTATTCATTTGATTAATTGCTTATTGATCACTGCGGTCGGGCCGAACAGGAAAAAATATGGCTTCCTTCTGTGACGTAGGTACCTCCTTGCGCTCGGTCCATTTAGACCTCGCACCAAAGATTTCCCGTCCGGCCCTTCGTCTCAGTCAATAAGTAAATATTATTTACGTCGAGCGGTAACTATAGATTTTGGTGCTAGTATTTTCTGTACTTTCCTTGGTAACTAAAGTTACGTGGTGGTAACAAATGTGGAAAATAAAATGTGAGGAGTACTCCAGGGGTGGAAGTTCCTGTGAATTTTTTCCTACTGACAGAGGTTAACCACAAAGTAAGGCCCAGGGCATTTGAAACATGGATTAAAAGACCATGTAGTCTTGAACATGGGCCCAGAATACATGTTAACTAATTTATGCAAATTCAACCCGCTTTGGTTATTATAAGTAGCTAGTCATTGTGCTCCTGAGGACCAGTCTGAATACAGCACTTGTTCGGACACGAGGAAGTCTACAGTTTCACGGCCAGTTGGAAAAAAAGAAACATTCTAAGAGGTATCTAAACTGCTTTGTTCTTATCTACTCTCGTTGAAATTTTTCAAATCAGTCTCTTAGTATATAGGAGATCCTTTTGGTTGAGGTAGGCCGTATAGAGTTTATTTTGTTTATCAGCCACATGTCTTCAAAACAATCAACGCTTGATAGTACGTCGTCACAATGAATTTTCTTTGACTACTCTCGATTCAGTTGCAGACAGGAAAACCGCAAGACATTCGTCAAATTGTGTTTTTTTGTTCGTCTTCGGAATCTTAAATTGATATTACCTAGAGCTCTAGGTAGTATGATCGCCCAGATTCGATTCTTAAAAAAATTGTAAACATCGTCCATATGCATGCATAAAGCGGCTAGAAAATAAAAACTTGCAACTGCTATCGCAAAAGAAAAAAAGCAGTCTGACGTTTTCAAAAATGTGACAAAATTTCAATCAGTTACCCAGACAAAATGTTACAGTTTTCTAAATAAAATAGTCGACGTCGGTTTTAGAAAGCGAAAACTCCTAAAAATATACTTCATCCATCAAATTTGCATATTGTCTCCCCACAGTCTAATGGAAAAAACTTTGTCCCTGTAAGAGCCTTAACTTTGACCTTGCCCTTGCAGAGCACTTAGGAAAAAAAACATTACATTAAAATACGTCAATACTGTCGGACAAGGAACGCTATGATAAAGATCGTTATAAATGGGTAAGCCTTGAACGGAAAATGTAATATTCATGTAGTTTCTGATATGGATAAATAATGACTTAAGTGTACGTCCACAATATTAAACAAAATACTTTGCTCTTCACGGCAGAAATATGTTAAGCAATTCTTAATATGCTTTTCTCACGGCTCTACCATTATGTGATGACGGCCGACTTTAATGGGACCCGTTAGCAAAATGTCGATCGTCTTAAAAATAATTACCTGAAGGGACAATTTTTCACCTGGTCTTTTTATAAAGACACGTGCCAATCACACACAAAGTCATCGGAAAAACTAATACGCATAATGAAAACTAAAAAGAAGATAAAAGTAAATATACAGCGTGTTTGAATTAATTTTCTACAAGTTTTTGGCTGATATTCCAATGAAAGGATTTAGTTTCTACGGAGTCCGTCTTTCGTTTGTAATCCATTATTGGCGACCTCGTCGGGGTCAACATTCTAAAATAAATTGATGTATTTATTCTTTTGCTCGTTCCTCGTAATTTTTCATTGTAAAAATCTATATTGGAAAACTTCAAGTGTGAATCAACCAAACTGGCGTTCAAATATTAGAAAGACGATTTGTAAATATTGAAACAATTTCCGAAACACATATTAAGACCATTTCATTTAGCTGTCTTTTACTCGTTCTTAGAGCATTCTAATAAAGGAAAATTTAGAGTGATTCTTTCACCATTGCATTGTAATTTATGTATCAGGTGTTATGCGAAAGAGCATAATCTGAATTTCGTTTTCATTTGCTTATTTGCAGCCCTCGAGCACTTTGAAACTGCTCCACTGACAAGTCACTCGATAGTTCCTATGAAAGACTACGTCATTTGCTAAAAATTCACCCTCTCGAAGTTTCTTTTACTTTGCGTTACATTTTTCCCGATTCCATACCAGTCTCTCAATTTTTTTTTAAAGTGAGTATTTTTTTGATACAAATGCTTCGGGAATACTTTCGCAATAAACAACACCACTCTTGGTTATTTTGACGTTGACATGCATGATGGCTATTGCGGGCATTGCTGGCTGATCTTTCTATATTATATGTCGTATTGAAGGTTAAAACCATCATGTGCTAATCACTTGACAGTTTGCAAATTTTTCGACGCGACACAGTCAAGCGATTCATTTTCAATTCGACTAGCTTATTGATATTTTCAGTTTCAGTGTAAAACAGTGATATGGATTCTTTCGGAAAAGAAGCTTTGGAAGCTCATAATAAATTTCGCGCAGCTCACCAAGTGCCACCGCTGACATGGTCTACCGCCTTGGCGCGAGATGCTGAGGTTTGGGCAAAGAAAATCGCAAAAAAAGGTCGCCTTGAACACGATGACACAAAAGACGGAGAAAATGTATTTATGGTGTTTGGACGCGAAATTGACGGCACCGATGCTGTAAACAGTTGGTACAGCGAAGTCAAGGATTATGACTTTAGTAAACCTGGGTTTCAGTCAAACACCGGTCACTTTACGCAGGTTGTGTGGAAGGGCAGTAAAGAGCTGGGCATTGGTAGAGCTAAGAGTGTCGATGGTAAAGAGTTTGTCGTCGGTCGTTACAGGCCAGCAGGAAACATGATGAGGGCCTTCGCGGAGAACGTTTTCCCGTCCAAAGTACGTGACACTTATGAGTGCTTCGAGCGTTTGATTCAGAAATTTTTTGTTTTGCTGCTTTGTTTAAAGTTTTTTGATATTGCATTAAGTAGTCTTTTATCAGGCGTTCCCTCTTTTAGCGCACCGACATGGTGGCGCATCTCTTTGTTAAGGGTCTCGTGAGAGAGTGCTGTATATTGTTGCTTTTCGCCGAACGCCAATTGTACGTTGTGCCGAATAATGTGTGTTGTTGTTGCAGGATGGGCCTGTCACAATTCCTGAGAGGGAATCAGCATCTAAAAAGGGTTCTGTGCCTGTGTACCAGCGGCAGAAACATGAGGAAAGACCACCGAGAGGAGTGGAGACGCGGACAGAGGAAAAAGTAATGCAATAAATTTTTATCTAAATTTAACATAGAATTCAATACCATATACATACATGAGTTTTGTTATTCGCTATATAAATTCTTGATTCTGAAATTTTCAGATTTCAAGGTAGTTATCTTTCCTTACCATTACAAGTTGAATTTCATTCACGCCAGTACTCTATAATCAAAGACATTTGGATAAAAGTACTCTTAGAATCTACACGAATTATCAAATTACAATAGAATGATCTGAAAAAAGACATCCTTGTCAAAAAATACACAAATAAATAAGCCACACATGGCTCAAGAAAGCTTTTCCAGTAGTTGACTGTTTTTGGACGCATTTTTTATCACAGACCATTACGCTTCCAGATGGTACAAAGAAGACTGTTGTGTCCACCGTAACTGTGACCTTAAAAGGAAATGGTAAGAGTGAATCACTAAAACTATGGATTTAGCTCTTGGGTTTCTGCGACATGTTTTTCTTGCCTCAAGGATCACAGAAGATCTATGTGGAGATCTATGTCAATGTCATCTTTTTCAAATGACATTGCATATAGTGGCTATTTTGTGGCTAATTTTTTTTTCTTGTTAAGATCGAGGTGGCTATTCTAAGGAAACCGTGACAACAGTATCGGGTGAGGAGTTCAGAAACTAATTAATTCTTCAAGATCATTAGATGAAGTAGCTGAAATGCAGAACTAGTGGGCTAATTAAACATTAAAAGATAGTGCATAAGATTTTGATATTGGACAATTGTCTTGCCCAAAGTAATCATTAACAAGAAAGAAGAGCGAACTTGGCTTCTGCTTGCATGTTTATTTTACCTATCGCTAATCCTAGAAACGCTGCGTTCTTATTAAGTCACGAACGCCTGAAGCAAGCTACAAGTACTCACCACACGCTGCGTCTACTATTAATACCTTTTTTACAAAATAGGTGTAATCGACTTGCACTATCTTGAACGAAACCTATCATGGACAAATCCACGATACAATATTCATGAAACTTACACCATTCAATGACTTTCATCAAAAGTCTTTTCTTAGTCATACTACATCGTAATATTACAAACTTGACTGGAGCAGAGGAAAGTGAAGTGTTTGTGAAAAAAAGATTAATTGCCCGTGGGAAAAAGATATAAATGGCTGAGCAAAAGATTTCAGACCACAAGAATGCTTAACATGTAAAAAAAACTTGGCTCTTCCACTTTAACGGATCACTTACTTATTCGCAGCTGTTGCCACCTGAAGCTTGTGATTTAGAGCTGCACGCACACACATGAGAAACACATAAAAAGAAAGTCCAGATACAAATCCGGTTTCCCAATCATTCATACATAAACAATTATAAAATATTTTTCTTTCTTCTCGTAACAAATCGCAGAGACCAGAAAACAAGACAAGTTTGCTCGAGACATGAGAACAGCACTTCCTCAAGGTTGTAAC